ATAATTCTGAGTGAGGGATTTTTAGAATCTTGAAATAAGCCATACAACTTTATTATTTAGGCAACAAAACCTAGAATGGAAAACAGAAGAAAAAGAAGGTACTTAAGAAGTGACAATGTAAGGCAGCATTCAGGTATCCTTCCTCAGTGCTCCCTAGTATACTTACCGTGAAAAAAGAGGTACCACAAAAGCGGGCACATATTCCTCGCACAAAGCCCTCATGTGCTTGTAATGTACGGATGCATTCACGCTTCATCAAGTTCCAAATTTTAACCTGTTAAAACAGCAACATTTTCTCAACTAGTATCAATTCAGTAATAATACTGCTTTTGTAGCAAAACACTAAGCTTCAGTTAAGGTTAAAGGATTCATTCCATCTGCACCATCTGATCTGGGACTTGAGACCCATACGTGGGCTCAAAAGCTTACACAATGTTTTCTGTCAATTTAGTTGGTCCTATGAAAGGTATTGGAGAGAAGGCAGCATGGTACAGCCCAATCTCATCAGATCTCAGAAGCTAAGCAGGATCAGCCCTGGTTAGTACTTGGATGGGAGACCTCCAAGGAAGATGACAGAGGAAGGCAATGGCAAACCACCTCTGCTTCTCATTTGCCTTGAAAGCCCCTTGCTGGGGTCTCCATAAGTCAGCTGTGACTTGATGGCACTTTACTCTCACACAATGAAAGGTATTACATGGATTTCATTCTTGGTTTTTGATTTTGCATGGGCCAACATGGCTGTATAACTTTTCCCCCCTAAGGAAACCAGCCTTAAGTGAATTTTGGTGACCTGGGTTCCAAAGGAGGGCCTTTTCTGCTACTCCCCCCAGCTTATGGCATGCGTTTCCCCAGGAGTTGACAGTGATGACAACCCTGAAGGCTTGTCAAACTAGTTTAAAGACCTACCTGTTCCAGAGGGCCTTTGATATAGACAACAGGATTTATACAACAAGATTACGATGGTTGGGGCTACTCAATAATGGGGGCTTCTATTGTTTATTGCTTTATGCCCTCCCCACCAAGGTAGGCTCAGGGTGGCTGAAACCATGCCCGATTTATTTTTAAATTCTGTTCTGCAGGGCATGGTTTCCTGTCCTGAAAAACACAAAATGCTCTACAGGGGTGTCGAACGCACTGGAAATGTGTTATTTAAAGTTTTAAAGAAATCTTTAATTGTGTTTGTCTGTGTCCTTTATAAAGTTTATATCTCCGCTACCCGGCATTACCTTTTATGACACACATGGCCCGGCCCAACAAGGTCTCATTGATGTCAGATCCAGCCCTCATAACAAATGAGTTCGACACCCCTGCCCCTACCTCTCACAACAGCAGTACAGGTAAGATTAGAATATCAACAGCCAATCCATATGCAAAAGAACCTCCTCAGGAAACTCTTCTATTAGCATGTCACAGCCGGGGAAACCTCCTACAAGATAATGACTCAGTCCTACCCCACCTCCCTGAGTAGATATACATTACTTGCCTACCATTTTTCTTCTCACATTGACACAGAGTACTCCATCTTTCTGTGTTATACCTCTGAGGATGCCAGTCACAGGTACTAGTGAAACGTCAGGTACTACAATCCCAAGACCACAGCCATACAGCCCAGAAAATCTACAACAGCTAATGAACTCCAGCAATGAAAGCCTTCGACAACATATTAAATTAATATTACTTCAACATTTCTGCCATTTCATTGCTGCTACATCTAGCAAATCTCGCCTCCAATACAGTAAGCAACTGTTGCAGAAAACTAGAAGATTACACCAGGTAAATAACTTGGCAAACCAGGCAATGAAAACTGAACATTTGCAGGAAGAGTATTTAGTGGCAAGAGTTCAAATGGCAAAGTTTTATTTGGCCATTTAATGTTTTAAAGAGTAAATAAAACCGTTTTTGTTCTCTTTTGCATATCCTTTGCTCTAACACTTTAGAGTAACATTTCAGCATGCAGTTATAGGAACACATTTGACTGAAATACAAGGAATTTTTGATTCCTTAACTGAAATAACACAACATCCATAGAACAAATAAGACAGACGCCTTTCCACAGATTTAAAACTGTCTGAAAATTATTCTTACCTCTCCATCACATGCACCAGACAAAACTGTAGACAAGCTCTGTGGGTGCTTAGCCATGCAGTTAACACCATCCCTGTGACCATCTAATGATGCAATAAAAGGCTTCGCAAACACACGGTCCAACTTTGTGGCATTTAGAGCCCTCGTGTATTCCCTTGGAACTTCAAATGGATGCAGTGCAGGATCATAATTTCGTGGAACTAAGATAAATATATAAACATGAATACGTTTAAGTAAGAAGCTATTACCTTAAAGATTTTTCTTTTTTATATACTGTTAGTAGTCACATCATCACTATCTGGGAGAACAAAACTGTTCTTCTTACTTAAAGTCAGCCTTATTAGCTTTGAATTGGAAAGTAAAAAATAACCATATTCTGTTCACACAGCAGAGTTTGGAGACAACATCAGAAGACCATGGTTGTTATACTACATTCATTGGTCTTCTAGGACAACTGTCTGGCCACTGTGTGATACAACACACCAGACTAGGGACTCTCAAGGAAGCGATGGTCCGCCCTCTCCTAAAAAAAAATCTCTGGATCCGACCAAATTGGCAAACTATTGGCTGGTTTCCAATTTGCCCTATTTGGGCAAATTAATTGAGAGGGCAGTGACGATACAGTTGCAGAGCTTTATGGATGACACTTCCATGCTTGATCCCTTCCAGTCCGGCTTCTGCCCAGGCCATGGGATGGAGACAGCACTGGTCGCCCTCACAGACGACCTCCGGAAGCATCTGGATCAGAGTGGGACAGCGGTGCTGCTGCTGTTGGACCTGTCAGCAGCGTTCGACATGGTCGACCATCAGCTACTGGCCCACCACCTCACCAACATGGGGATTCAGGGGCTTGCCTTACAATGGCTCGTCTCCTTTCTCCAAGGTCGGGGACAAAGGGTGGCTCTGGGGAGCAGCTGTCCCAAAGGCACCTGCTGATCTGTGGAGTGCCTCAAGGGGCGGTGCTGTCTCCAATGCTATTCAACATCTACATGCGTGCCCTTGCCCAGAGGCATGGGCTTGGGTGTCACCAACATGCAGATGGCACCCAGCTATATCTGTTGTTGGGCAGTTAGTCCGACTCTACCCCAGAAGACCTGGACTGGGCGTTACAGGATGTGGCTGGATGGCTTAGACTGAGCTGATTGAAACTGAATCCGACGAAGACGGAGGTCCTGTGCCTGAGTCAGAGCGGATCGGGGGTAGGGATCCCATTACCAGCCTTCGATGGGGCACCGTTGGTGCCAGCGCCGAGGGTCAGGAGTTTGGGAGTGCTCCTGGATGCCTCTTTAACAATGGAGGCCCAGGTAGCGGCCACTCTTTTACCATCTTCGGCTGATTAGGCAGTTGGTTCCCTTCCTCAAACGCAATTATCTGGCAGCAGTGATCCATGGTATGGTCACCTCAAGGTTAGACTGCTGCAATGCTCTCTACATGTGGCTGCCCTTGGCGCAACTCCGGAAGCTGCAGCTGGTGCAAAATGCAGCGGCCAGGCTGTTGATGGGTCTCCCTATACGAGAGCACATCCAGCCTGTGCTGAACGTATTGCACTGGATGCCAATAGCATACTGGATTCGGTTCAAGGTGCTGGTTTTGACTTTTAAAGCCCTTTATGGACAGGGACCTGCCTACCTAAGGGACTGCCTTTCCCCACAAGTTCCCCAGAGAGCACTACGGTCAGGGTCACAAAATTGTCTGCCCACCCTGGTCCACAGGACGCCAGGATGGTATCGACTAGGACTAGGGCCTTTTCTGCAGCTGCTCCTGCTTACTGGAATGAGCTTCCGGGTGAGATCAGGGCCCTGGGGGACTTTGTTCAATTTCACAGGGCCACAAAAATGGAGCTCTTCCATCAGGCATATGGGTATGGAGCCACATCTTACCATCTATGTCCTGTCCCAGTCTTATTCCCAGCCTGAGCCCGCCAATAGTGGAGGTACTGCTTATCTTATTATAGTCACATCGTCATCGCTATGTTAAGGGTTTTAATAATGTACTGTGTATTTTATACTAATATTTATATTAATTTATATTATTGTTTTATCTATGGTTCTCTTGTAAGCTGCCTTGAGCCTGCCCCGGTGGGGAGGGTGGGGTAAAAATCTAATAAATAAATAAACAAACAGGATTATGGGTTTGATCATGCAGGGCTCTTCTTATGTCATCCTCAAGTAGGTCTCCTTCCCTTCCACTTTAACTGCCATGCAACTGCTCAGGAAAGGCTCAATCGTATCTGCTTTGCTTGCAGCAGGTCCCAGCCAGGTCCAGTTCCCTAGGATCTCCAGACAAAAGGAACTGGTCATTGGTAGGTGATGCAAAATTCCCCTACCTGAGACCATGGAAAGCCTCTACTACTCAGAGTAGGGAATATCGACCTTGCTAGATCAATGAACTAATTTAAGTGCTACACGAACACGCCAGCATTCCATCACCGCTACGGTACTTTCATTACGCAATCAGGAGCAATTATTATACAGCTTTATCCTAGAACGCTTCATGGAGGGGGTCGCCACGAGTCCCCTCGACAGCACGTTCTTCTTTATGGACAGAGAGAAATATAGCTTCACGCGTTATTATACAGCTTTATCCTAGAACGCTCCATGGAGGGGGTCGCCACGAGTCAGTAGCGACTCGACAGCACGTTCTTCCTTATGGACAGAGAGAAATATAGCTTCACGCAGCGGCATCTCACCACGTTGGAGGTCCTGCTTGGTCTCGCGGACGTAGTCATCCGGGTTCCGGCTCAACACCTTCACCTTCATCCTCCACGAGGAAAAGGGCCGCCGTTCAGCTTATCAACTACCCCCTCCGCTAAATTGCATAGAGCTGAAAGACCCAAGCAAGTCTCAGAAATAACTTCCGGGTGAATATAGCCAATGCAGGTGAAGAACAGATGGAAGGAAACCGGCGTCTCTACAGTCACGTGAGCAAATAGTTTTACTTTCCTAATCCCACCCATTAGAAAGCCGGGTAGGCAATACTGTGTTCTGATTGGTAGAGCTGTCCATCAGTTTCCGGTAGATGCAGCCTGTGAGGGGAAAGGGGTCAAAGAATAACGTCACTAATTTCTCCCATGTGATTGGCTACGGTCTGCGCAAAGGGTCTTTTTCGGGAAAAGCTCTCCTTCGCGTGTTCTGTTTTCGATGACTGTCACTGCCGCCGTCCCGGGGGCTCCGGCATGTACAGTGGCGGGGGCTGCGCCTGCTCCCACGTCGGCGTCGCCTGCTGCACGGTCCCTCTTCAGGCACGTGCATTTCGAGAACTTGGTGGCCGGGCTGAGCGGAGGCGTAATCTCCACGCTGGTGCTGCATCCGCTGGATCTGGTGAAGATCCGCTTCGCAGGTTAGAACCTCCTGCCCTTTCCCCCTCTCCCTCAGCAGCAACGGCTGCAGAGGCGACGTCATCCCTCACCCCCAAACTGCTATCGCCACAGTGCCACGTGCCAGTTCTAGCCCCCCCCCTCCTCCCCTCGAGCTTTCCCCACGGGCACCAACTGTCAAATTCCATCCCTACCCCAGGGATGCTTAGTCGGAAGTAGGCTGATCCTCTGCAAAGCGAGGTGCTCACGCCAAGGCACTTTGGCTGCATTCAACTCTGACTTTAAACAGTTCTCCAGTGTTTCTCTCGAGATCCTGTTTTCCCACTGGCAAGGTCATCTGCGTGCAAAGTATATGCTAAGACTGGGCTGTGGTCTTCTGGATAAGGATAGCTCAAGAAACAGGCTCTCCTGAAGTCATTTCCGAGCTGTGTTTTGGGAGTCTGTAGTGCTTGACATGGGAGAGAACATCCCCGATTGCCACTCACCCACTGTTGCCACTCAGTAGCCATCATATCAATCGCACGTACAGTCGGCAATGTACCTGACACTAGAGAAAGGGGCAAAGACCATCCTGGCACTGCAAGCCAGAACTGTTATGACTCACTGACATAGGCATGTAGAAATGTACCACAGCCAGAACAGCTACAGACATATGAGGACATTTTATAACACTGCAGTCAAGAAGAAGAGATTGGATTTCTACCCTGCCCTTCACTACCCAAAGGTGTCTCATAGCGGTTTACAAACTCCTTTCCCTCCCCACAACAGACACCCTGTGAGGTAGGTGGGGCTGAGAGAGCTCTTGACAGAAACGCAAACCCGGTTCTCCCAGATTAGAGTCCACTACACCAAACTGGCTCTCTGCAGATTATTCCAAGTATATGCTTAACATTTATATAACTCTTCCAGTGTTCAAAGCACTTTGTGTGCATTGTCTTGTTGCATTGCTTGCAGCAGTTCTACACAATACCAGTGTTGTATATTTGGGATACAGAGAAAAGCCTGAGTAACTTGTTGATTTCACGTCAGAGGTAACATTTGCTTCAGGGATCTCATTATTTTAGCCACTTTTATCGGCTAAATTCACTATTCCATAGGAACAAATATAGTGTTAATGTTGGCTTAAAGTTTCATTAACTTTACAGTTCTCACCTGGAAAAGATCTACTTGCTTACTTGTGTTTATATATGTTGTTATTGATTCATTCTGGAATATACTTTCTTCAGATTTCTCTCCAATTGCTTTATCTAGTGAGTGATGGCTTAGAACTCAGGCCAAAATACAATGGAATCCTTCACTGCTTGTCAACCGTCTGGAAACATGAAGGATTGCGTGGTCTGTACCAAGGGGTAACACCAAACATGTGGGGAGCAGGTGCCTCTTGGGGCCTGTACTTTTTCTTGTAAGTTGAACTGTTAAAATACTTCCCAATGTTCTGTTCAAATATGTGATTGTAATGCATCTTTATCATTATACATAAACATAGACATACTTTATTATAGTCTGCTTTGATTGCAAAGGCTGCGGGTGCATGAATATGTCACCCTGTATAACTGTGGTCCTTTTAATCCAAATGTTCCTGATGTCCCTTACAATGCTTTCTGTATTTAGTATTAATCACAGACCTAGAAAAATCCAAGATAAGCAAAAAGTTTTTCATGTGATCTAAGCAAGTGGGCTGGATTCAGTGATCTGTCAGCAGAAGGTGCTGATGGTCACAGATCTTTCTTGCATTCCCTCCCCCCAAGCAGTCCTTTGTGACCCAGGAAGAATTTATTCCTGGGATTGCAAGACCTGTGTGAACTAATAACCATGGAGGTCAGGAGGCTGCAAGGGTGGAGGGGACAGGGGACAAATTGTCCTTTCCACCTGTGTAGGACAAGGGAAAAATGAATGTAATTTCTGAACGTGAGTTCTGACATTTCCTCTGATGTGTTTATATGCTGACAGCTGACACTGTGCCTTTATAAGAGTTTAATAATAGTATATTCAGATTTTGGTATTTAGCCCAGATGGAAGAAATCTATAGTAGAACATATGTATTTTATAATTGTATTTTTCTGTATAAAAAGTTATAAGCAAAAATATTATTCAAAACCTTTGTAGATGGAATGCGTAAGTTACAAGGACGCCAACAGCAAAGGTTATAAAATAAGTGTTCCAAAAACAATTAGTTCTTTTGTTGGATAGAGAATCTGGTACCAGGAAACCTGCCAAGAACTAAGCTTAATGTGAATCACAGCCCTTATCAGCTAGCTCTCCAAAAGGAGAGGAGGGAGGCTAGCCTTGCTCAGGCCATAGAGAGTCCCAGTGTTCTCTAATGTTTCCCATTGTTCTGAAGACCAGATAAGCAAATGCAATCACTGACATGCATGACCAGTATCAGGAAAGACCAATAGGGTTTAGAGTCAAATGATGCTTCCATGATGTTAACTGCTTGATACCAATTAGAGATTCTTGAATGTGTAAATCATATGTGATGTCACTTGGGGTATAAGACTCTCTGCCCTTCTTGGTTAAGGCAAGATACAGCTTGATGTCGCTGGGGGCCTAAAGGTACTCAGCCCTGTATCTCCTGTTTCAGTTACAATAAACAAATATTCATCTAACTCATTGGACTTCGACTGTGTGATTCCAATCCGGCCACAGGGTCACATGGGGCACAGATTTGTGCATCACCTGTCAGTTGAGCTCTGCTCATGGAAGAGACAGAAGGGAGTAATTTCAACCTGTTCTTCTTGCCCACTGCAGCTTCTCAACCCATATGGCTGTTTGTCCTTAGGGGTCCCACACCCTGTCAATAAACTTTCTTGGGGCTAAAAAGGACTTCTGAGATGAGGGATGATTGGGAAAGACTGCAGTGAGTCAGGCTTGGGTTGGTTTTTGATCTTGGAGGTTAGTTGATCCAGGCTTATTTCAAGTTTTTCTAGATAGACCCAAAGTAAATCAGAATAAGGATTGCTGCTGCAATATCTAGAATATCTTGTTCAGGCCCTCTAGCTGTGTTATACTGTTGTTTTTAGCAACCACTGTTCTGCATAAATTATTTTAAGCTATCAAGGTTCAAAGTACCTCAATACTTAAGACTGCAGTTCAGTTAATAGGATTAGAGAAGCAGTGAGCAATCCCAGTGTGGTTCCGAATTTAACCTGCACTGAATAAGTAAAACTTTTATAAATGATTCAACTTGGTATAAAAGCTGGGTGTCTGCCATGAACTTTACCTGGTTAAGTCCAGAGCATACACAAAGATAATCTATGGATAGAAGCTTTTACTTGTCTTTCTGTTGCTTGCCAGACCTTGCTCCAGGTTACTGTTCACCAGATAGCAATTAAAGCTTATTAGAGTCCCCCTCTGGGGGGGGGAGGTTACTAAAATAGATAACTCTCTGTGTATGGAGAGCCACAAAGTATATAAATGTGGCTTATAGTTGATAATATGGAATACTGTTGTGTTGTTGGTGCTTTTTTTTTACCATACAGCTATGGCTAGTTCCTAAGTTTTCACTAAATACCACTTCAACATGAACTGCTTAAATAATATTGCAGTCTGTTAATTGATACCTTTTCTTCCCTGATCTGTTCATAGAATCCCTCTGATTTATGTTTTCTTATAGCTGAGCAATGTACAAGGGGATAGATAATTACTCTGTGGGGAATAGCTTAATCTTTAAAAGTAGTTGTACATTTTTAAACTATAAAGAGCAAAGAGGTCCTTTGTGTAAATATTTTTTTCTCTCCACACACACACACACTATGGATAGGGTCTAAAGAACCACACAGCTAGTGTGTCTCTATCCCAATGCCACTTATCAAACCACCTGTGGAACCTGGGAGAAACTTCTGTGAAATGTTACAGACCTGCTGTTTGAATGAAATCCTTCTAGGCATGTAACTGAACTTGGGTGCACCTACAATAGTTCTTTGACATCCAGCCTGTATGTTTTATATTCACATAGATTTCTGATGCACGTACCGTATATATGTTTCTAGATAACTGGCAGATCCAGAGCTTCCCTGCATTCTCTGTCTTCTAGTAGCTCAATACTGAAGATTGCAAGGCCCACATGGACACATGTTGGGGGACTGAGTGAGGAGGGGAAATTGGGTAAGATTGCCCCCTCTTCTGCTCACAGATCTTCCCAGGCTTGGCTGGGAGAAGAGGGATGGGGCAATTTTGATAGGTTCTCTCTCCCACCTCCCACCCCCGATTCAAATGACTTTTTGTCCATGTAGGACCTGTGATATCCACCATCAGTTTTCAGAAGTCAAAAAGGAGTGCCACAGAAAATGGAACTTTAGTAGAATACAGCCCAGTGTGGCTCTTGTGTTTGTAAAATAATCAATTATCTGTATTTCACTCCTCAGCTATAATGCCATTAAAGCTTACAAGACAGAAGATAGGCAAGAAAGCCTTGGAGCAAGTGAACACCTAGTATCAGCTGCTGAGGCTGGTGAGGAAACTGTGAACAAGATACTGTCTGCTATTTTTTGTCCATGTTTATACATTTTTGTTGCTGACTTGAGCTCAAATGCTCATGTTTGATTCAGCAAAACTATCTGATCACTGAAAAATGCTAGGCCTTTCGGATACGTAGAATATTCACAATATAACCCGAAGCAATAAATCCTAAACAGAATTGCAGCCTCCTAAATGCATTGTCTTACAGTGCATTCCTAAGAAGACTTTCCTGGGAGTAAGCCCCACTGAGTAACCTTCAGTAGGATTCTGAGTAGACTTCTTTAGGATTACACTTTAAGTGTCCTTAGAAGGATGTGACTCTGTTTAGGACTGCACTTAGTACGTAGAAAATCCCTGAACTTGCAGTGGGTTTGCTTCCCTTGAGCTGTACCAGATTCTTATCCATTCTGTTTGGGTTCAGTAGAAAGATGCTCAAAGAGAGATTCTTAATCTTTGTCATACTTTATTCTAAGTATGACATGTTTGCCAACTGAATACAGGTATTTATTTTTCTGCAATTCTGAATACTCTTGGTATTTGGCATTTGCTCTTTGTCAGATAAAATTGTTGATTGATCTAAACTATTTAGAACACCTGGTTGGCAGGATTGCAAGACATTCCTTTTCTATGCAAAGAGCCATGTTAGGAGTTCCATGTGCCCCAGGAACTTTAGACTTGAGTTTCTGTCACAGCAGAGTGGCATGCCTCATAGTATCTCTTTAAACTGAGGGTCCTCTCAGAAGCATTTTGTGGTATCACATGGTCAGCAGCAGCTGTTAACCAAAAAAGTTTTTTAAAAATGCCACTGTGCATTCCCAAGCTAGTCCTAAATAGAGTTAAACACTTTTAAGTCCATTGGAGTCTGCTCTTTGGATCATGGGGATCCGGATGGCTGGCGACCAAGTCCAAGCAGGCTCTTGATTTCTTCTCCTTCGGAGCGACGCTGCTTTTTCGGGCGCAGCTTCCGGCGAATGTCCCATATGCTATGGTACCATATCTCCATTTGAAAACAAGCCTATGGTTGCATGTTCCATGTGTGTGCACTTTCTCTCTCTCTCTCTCATGCTGCTTCCTTCTCCATTTTCCTTTTAGTATTAACCCTAGTTTATTGTGATTTCCAAATCAGCAGGTTGGCCTTTGTCCACTAAACTAGAAATAGAAACTGAGCAGTGGGGTTTCTTATTTAGGTTTGGTCATGTTGATGTACAAATCTGTGCCCTGTGTGCTCCCGGGGCCGGATAAGAAACACACGGAGTCCAGGGAGAGGATAAATATATGCAATAATCAGGAAAATACAGGACTGAATACCTTGGCACCCAGTTAACACCAAGCTGTATTCTGCCCCAATCAGGAAAGGCAGTAGATCTTATACCCCAAATGACACCATGACAGGTTTTTTAAAAAAATAATTATTATTTTCTATACAAAACAGAAATAAACTGTCGCATAAAGTGGTAAATGTTGGATCAGGTCAGTGGCCCATCCAGTCCAACACTGTCACACAGCGACCAAAAATACCAGGTGCCACCAGGAGGACCACTGGTGGGGCCAGGACACTAGAAGCACTCCCAACGTTGCGCCCCCCCCCAAAGAACCGAGAATACAGTGCATCACTTGCCCCAGACCAAGAGTTCCTATCTATGCCTTGTGGCTAATAGCCACTGATGGACCTCTGCTCAATATGTTTATCCAGTTACAGATAATAGTGCTGTAATTACAGATAATTACAGATAATAGTACTGTAATTGATACAATTGTCACATTTCTGTCTGTTAGGAGCCATTACCCTGTGTATTACAAATCCAATTTGGGTGACAAAAACTCGGCTTGTGCTACAATATGACGCTGGCATTGATCCTTCAAAGAGGCAGTATAAGGGAATGGTAGATGCCCTTATAAAAATATACAAGTGTGAAGGTATACGTGGCTTATACAAGGTAAGTCTGGGAGTACTGGTGTGTAGTGTGATTAAAGCATTGTTAGTGATGTGACAATGTGTATGTGAAAGTGTCATGACGTGAGTTTCACTACCATAGGCTTGCTGATGGGCTTCATTTTCCTTTGCAAGCTCTTCTGCATTTTTTTCCTGTTGTCACAGAGCCATACCTAAAGCCTTATAAAGAGTCAGATCTAGATGGATTGAAAAATGACATTTGGGGCCAGCTTGAGTGATTTCTTCTTGTAGCTGTGTTGTTGCTGGCAAAGACCATAATACTATAACCATTTACTCCAAAATACTACTCTCCATAGAATCAGTAGTCCTGTATATTGTCTGATCTTGGTCTATTTCTGCTGTCTATTGTGCACAAATTTGACTCTTCAAAAATGGGGGGAAAGGTTGAATCCAGGCACCTTTTCCAGCCAGTCTTACCCAATTGTACTCCTTAGTATAGACCCCTTCCCATATGGCTTTTGTAAATGCAAGTCCTATGATTCCCAGTGGTAAAGGGAACCACTCCTTCCTGTTTCACCATCAGAAAAGCTGGTTGAATCCAGCCCCAAATTTCTGGTGGTACATTGGAGTAGTGTACTGCTACATCATCCAAAAGGATGTTCCCATCGAAATCAGTACCTAGGCATATACAGGTTAAGGCTGTTTTTCAAACTTGTGCTACTCAGTTAGTTGTCAGTGGGTAAGTCTTCTACAAGTGGGAAGCATGTCCATTGGGTTAGGAGTCAGGATCCAATTAGTCAGTCTTGAGTAGTGTGAGGGACTTTGCAAGAGATTCCCTCAGTTTTCAAATCGGAGCTAGTTTGAACAGATGCTGCTCAACCCTTTATGAATGTTGCTTTTTAAACTATATGCCAACTGTTCTGGCTAGTACTTCAGTAACACCAAACTGTGAAAAACTACAAGAAATAGAGCAAAATGTCATTCTTGTAAGGGCTCTGTAGTTTCTTATAATAGACTGAACAGAAAACAGTTTTCCCAGGATTTTCTGTTATGTATATTGCTGCTGGAAAAAATGCACTTGTAAGTAGTTTCATTGCAACTATAGAGGCTGGTAACTATTGTTTAGCTATTGTTCTAAGCATATGTCTATTAAAACTATTGCATTTTTCCTTCTAAGGAAAGAAAATAGCTGGACAGTTATGATAACATTTATAAGGACCAGCAGTACTGTCCATGTATTTATGTTCAAGGTTTCATAATACTATGCTTTGAAGCCAAATGTTTATGTGTAGTAATAAAATAACTGTAAAGTTATCCTGTAACGTGAATCAGGTTGGCTAGCTTTAATGTTTTGCTCTTTAAACTCTGTAAAAGAAATCTGTGTTTTAGGGATTTGTCCCTGGTCTGTTTGGAACAAGTCATGGAGCACTGCAGTTCATGGCATATGAAGAATTTAAGTCAAAATATAATAAGCATTGGGACAGACCATCAGATTCAAAACTGGTAAAGTACTCCTTTATTATGGATTATTTTATGTATATAGTATATGATATACTCTGTCACTGAGAAAAGTTGTTTTATTTTGCTTTCATGACTAATAGGCATTGATGGCCCCATCTTTCATTAATTTGTCTAGCTCCTTATAAAGGCAATCAAGCCAATGGCTACTATTGTATTTATAGCAATAAATTGCACCATTTAATCATGTGTTGTATGAAGAAATACTTTCATTTGTCTGTTCCTTATTTAGTATTAGTCTCATTTATTATTAGCAACATTTCTATATTTAAAGGATAGAAAATATAAAATATTCATAAACTGTGAAACCTACAAATATAAAGTTTATTATTGGTTCCTTTAATACAGTTGTTTGAAATTAATGTTCGCTTCATTTCATTTTTAGAGCACTTTAGAGTATATCGCTATGGCAGCACTGTCAAAAATGTTTGCTGTTTCAGCAACATATCCGTATCAGGTTGTGAGGGCGCGTCTCCAGGATCAGCACAACAGATACTTGGGAGTAGTGGATGTAATGCATAGAACATGGAGGTAGGGCATGGGAATCCAAACCTGTTGCAAAAGTACCTCCTTTACAAACAGTGCAGTGCTAAAAAGAGTTGCACCCTTCTAAGTACATTGAAGTCAGTGGGCTTAGAAGGGTATAACTCTGTTTACGATTGATTTCTATGTTGAACATTGTTTTATTTTCAGCTCATGAGTGTTTTATTTTCAGCTCATGAGACCTAAACACCTACACATATCAGGTTTACAAATAATGTAACAGTAAAATGAAATGTGAAAAATAAAATGAGAACAAGCTTGCTGTATATGAACCATCATTTGCTTAAGGGGGTAGAGCTGGAGTATGCAGATAAGCTACCCTGCAGAGTTCCAGTACAGAGTAATTAATGAATTGTTAATTTTTCAAATTAAGTACAGCAAAACTTTAACTGGCATTCATGGGTGAATTGGGTTTGCCAGTTAACCAAATGTGCTGGTTTACAAAGCTTTTACTTGACAGCAGGAGGGCAGCAGGGCTGAGTGGCTGGTGGCCATGTGCAGGATTTGGAGACTGCTCCAGTGTTGCCTGCTTGAAACTGCTGCCTCCTGGCTGGCACCCTGCCCGAGCCACCTGGCCAGCCCCTCCAAGTCACTCCACTGGTGTGCTCAGCTGGACATAATGGGCATGCTAGTTAATCACACAAGCTGTTCAGTTAACTGGGTGTCAGTTAACAAAACTTTTACAGTAGTACCTATTTTAACACCGTGGTTGTGTGAAACAGCTTTATAAAAGAAGTACTGAGAACACTGGTTCTCATGGGGTTCACGGTATCACCATGTATGAGTGACAAATGAGGGAGCAACCACCAAGTTGACCATCTTTGTGAGGCTCCTGTGCTTGAGTGGCCTTGGAATCCTGTCCAGGTCACCTTGCTTGTCAAGTCTTTCTCCTGGGAGAGCTGTGTCCCCTTCTGTCAGCCCCACAGCTCCTACTGAGGCCCTGTTCCTTAGCCATGCAGGTCTTTTATCAATCTCTGCCGCGGTTAAGAGGTGGCGTCCTGCCCACAGCAGTGATGTGTCACTTCCAGCCTGCCTAGATTTATTTCCATCTGAGCTGATCATGCTGCAGAAACATCCCCAGGTGGGGTTGCCGACCTCCAGGTGGGTGGAATTGAGCTGAACAACTGTGATGTATTATGCCAAGGAAATTATCCACAGACTATTAGGTTCTTATCCAGTATTCCGTTTACTTGGAGTAATTCAGTCTCTCAAAAATCATTCATAACAACGCCATCAACACTAACGTGATGCCGTTAATGGATTTGATCAGAGTCACCAAGAAAAATGGCCATACTGCTTGTTAAATGAATGAGTGAATGGAATTTCAATGTTATACACTCTGACAAAGTTGTAAACGAAATGAGACCTGATATGTATAGTCCGTTAGTGCTGATGGCGTTATTATGAATGATTTTTGAGAGATTGAATTACTCCAAGTAAACGGAATACTGGATAAGAACCTAATAGTCTGTGGATAATTTCCTTGGCATAATACATCACAGTTGTTTAGCTCAATTCCACCGTCCATCCCGTGATCTCTCCTCTTGGTTTGCAACCTCCAGGTGGGGTCTACCAGAATTACAACTGATCAGTTCCCTTGGAAAAAATGGCAGCTTTGGAGGGTGGACTCTGGTATTATGCTCTGCTGAGGTCCCTCCACTTCCGAATTTCCAAGCCCAAATTTGGCTGCCCTACCCCCCCCCCCCAAAGTACGCTAAATGAAGCAGCTTTATATGAGGTATTACTGTTCTGTCCTTCCATTTAAAGTCTGTAGTGTCATTCTTGCCTGTGGTTTGGTGAAAATGTTGCTCTTCTGCCTTCAACTTTTGTTTGGGCGAAAATGTTGCTGTTCTGTCTTCAACTTTCACTTGGTCTTTTGCCCCTGTGCCTTCTGCTTAAACAAGCAGGACTGCAGTAGTGCCCCACAGCAGATGAAGCAGAAGAGTGGCATAAGGACTGGTGTGGGGGGGTATAAGATGCATAGTAGCTGCATCCTCTACCATGGCCTTGAACCTTTTTTAAAGATATAGGCAGGACCTTTGGCTTGAGTTCTGGCAATCCTACTCAAAATATAGTCTGCATGTCTTCCCCACTCCTGATATGGTCAGTATAGAGGGGGAAATCACCTGTCATAGCAAACCATGTGACTCATAGAATACTGTAGATGTTGACAAGTATAGTAAGTAATGGGCCATGTGCAGTCTCAGATGAGAATATGCCCTTAAATCCGGTACTTCTCCAGTAATTGAAACTTTTGAAATAGTGTAATTTTAAAGGGCCTAGACACATTTCACCCATTTATTTTTCTGTAACTATACAGACAAGGCTTTCAGCTTTTAAAAAGACAAAATTCTTACTAGTCTAATCACCAGCTAATTTCAAGATCGCATTTAGAATTTTAAGTCATTTTAAAGAATTATGCAGAAAATTGTGGAATGATCTTCCTATCAAATACATTTGGAAGTTATGAATGTTTTCTGCTTCTCTATAGGAAAGAAGGAGTTCACGGATTTTACAAAGGAATTGTACCTAATGTGCTCAGAGTAACACCTGCATGCTGTATTACCTTTGTTGTGTATGAAAAAGTATCCCAGTTATTGCTTGGCTTTAAAAATAGCAGCTGAATCCTGGAGATTGCGTCAAGAAGGGCATCATCATCAAATACCCGTCTGTTTTAAGACTTAATTTTTCTGGCATTCACAGAAGAACAGGGGAATAGAACACATTTTGACAGAAGCAACTGAATCTGAAAGTCTCTGCCTGGAATTTTCCATGCTAACCTTGTCTCTGAGCGACTAGATGCAGCTCAGCAACAACACTGCATATTTTGTTTTGTTCTTTAGCTAATTGTTCTCCCTAACTCTGTTCTGAGAAAAGCAATGAACTCTGGACTGGGAAATGGCAGAAAGGTCATGATGTCAAAATACTGGAAGGCACAATATTTGGTATGCTATTTATATCACCAATAAATTGTGTATATGATGTCTACAACGATGATTTCAGCTTTCCATATTCTTTCCATCCCTTTTAAGCAAGGCTAATTGTGAAAGAAAATTTAATTGGCCTTTATTAATTTATAGCATGGCATTGGGAATATGTGCATTATGTTAGTCCTGAATGCTTTAATATAGAACCTTAGGACGTAGCAAAAAATTGAACTGGTGTCATATTGTATTTTAAAAATTTATGGTGTCTTCTCACTCTTATCAGCTTCCAGTTAAAAATGCAACTGAATTAATGAACAGATTTTAAAAAGCTGCCTTTTTACAGCATTTGAAATATAATTCAGAATTAAGTGTACAGGTAGCCCAGTCCTATGAATGCTTGGCTTTGGCAATTGGCAGGTTCAGAACCAGCCTGTACCTACTCCAATCAGAGCAACAGACTGCTGAGGTTAGCCCTGTCACTGCTTGATAAGTGAACCTCAAGAAAAATGAACAGGAACCATCACTATTATTTCTATCACCTCCTTGTGACAACAGCAGCAACTGCTACCCATCCAGCAACTATATTATTAGCTTTGTTTCTACCACTGTTGTCCAAATTCAATACCGCTTCTTGGAAATGTCCTCATAGCGCTGAAACTTTACCAAGATGGTATATGCTGGGGTAACAGTATACAAAGGTTAATTTGTACATAAAAGTAAAGGTAAAGGTTTCCCTTGCTCGAAAGCCAGTCGAATCCAACTCTAGGGGGGCGGTGCTCATCTCCGTTTCCAAGCCGAAGAGCCAGTGCTGTCCGAAGACATTTCCATGGTCATGTGGCTGGCATGACTAAATGCCAAGGCGCACGGAATGCTGTTACCTTCCCACCAAAGCGGTACCTATTTATCTACTTGCAATTTCTTGCTTTCGAACTGCTAGGATGGCAGGAGCTGGGACCAGAGACGGGAGCTCACTCCGTCATGCGGCACTCAGGTCTTGAACTGCTGCACTACCTTCCAGTCTGGAGTTCAGCGTCTTAACCACTGAGCCACCACAGCCCCAATAATTTGTACATACCACTAACATATAATGCCGGTGATATTCAGAGTTCTGTATAGCCTTCTCCTTCAGTACACAGTAGGGTCTTCTTGCTTTACTCATAAATACTGAAAAGTGGGTTTCTTTTTAGTAGGAAATGACATTCAAAGTAAAATCATACTTTATTTTATAACTGTAGGTTTGAACAAAGGTAAATGTTCCTAATTTCGGTATTTATAAAAGATCATCTTTATTAAGAAATGTAAAAAACTGTCTAGAATTCATATAAAATAGTACATAAATACAGATTTCTGTATCAGAATCTATATTCCAAAACATTATGAAAAACATGCTAGGATACTTGTTTCAGTAGGAAAGTCAACTGCTTACTGGTATGTCTATAAAATCTGTGCGTTATAGCCAAGTGCTTTCTTCCATATATAGAAAACTAGCAGGGGGGAGTTATATATTGTATATAGTGTTGGGGAAGTGAAACTTGGGAAGAGCATTCTATTTTGGTAACTCTTCTATAACGATGCGGGAAACTGAGTTCCATCCAGTTGAAGCATCTCCTCTTGGGTAATCTGAGCAAGTACCAACCCAAATGGCAACATCCACCAAACCGGCACTGATTCCTTCACATAATCCTTCCACTGTTAAAAGACAAAACACATCTTGTTTTTACTCAAAAACATCTGTTGTCAAAGTCTAAAGACAAGAGAACAGGAGGAGGAGATCTCTACTTCTCTCAAAAACAGCAAGGAGGGAGCTGAGTAGGTCAGTCATTAGAACTGTGCAGTAGGTTGACCTTGGCTGCTGCTCTGTCCCCCTTCCACATCTAAGGCTACCAGTAGGATTATATGCTGGAGGGCACACATGAAGCTGCCTTAAACTGAATTGGTCCGTCTTGGTCAGTATCATCGACTCAGACTGGCAGTAGCTCTCCAGCATCTTAAGCAGAGGGCTTTCACATCGCCTACTACCTGATTCTTTAAACTGGTGGTTGAATTTGGGACCTTCTGTATGCCAAGCAGATGCTCTACCACTGAGCCACGGCCCCTCTTCACAATGCTAAAGCCTAGGAGGTTTAGGGTTGGAGAGGATTGATTAAAGAATTAGTATATTATATTAGGAAGGCAAATGGGGACTTAGTTGGACTGATCTAGTCACTAGCATTTTTCCTTGCTAAAAATGATGAGGCTGACCTTTACTGTAAAATTTGCATGGATCTTTCTTTATACATACCTGAAGAAGTGCGATGTATATTAATAGTGGAATTTAATTCTGGACTTCCTTGATCTAAATAAATTATCGCCTCAATAGGAAGTGGCCCAGAACATTCAGCTCCATTAAATGTAAAATACCAGCGCTGACAACAAGCATTTCTGCATTTGAGGCGAAGTGATCCACTGAAGAGAACTCTTAAAGCACTGTTAGTGCGCATCTTTGTGAATGTGCATTCCTATTAAAAAAAAAGAACAAGTTGTGTGTTGAAGCTAGAAATTTTTCACTGTTGCACTAAATAATTGATGATCTTAATTGCCCAGGTTTTCACTACCCAATTCTCACCTGGGGCATGCCACAGACTTCTGAAGTGACTCAAGAGCAAGAAAATTCAGTTATTATATCTTACAGCAAATCCAAAAAACCATTTCCTTTCCACTACTTGGTGATTTTCTGTTGTTATTCTAAGGTAGAATTCACGTATGTGAAATTCAGATATCAAAACTCTTTCAAAAGCATTAAACTTGCAGGCTTCAAATACAGCTGTCGTGACAAAATTGGATCTTCCATTCCATGATGGTTGGAATTCCAAGTCATGGTAGATTCTCTCACTAGACCATAGATATCATGGTTCAAAGGAAGAAAAGAGAATATTGTAGGAACAATATTCATAGTTAATTCTTTACCTTAGTAAAGTAGCACATTGACTAGTTATTTTTAAATCTAACCCCATATCAAGTGAAGAGGAAATGTCAAGCAGCATTTCACTAAATGGAGAGAATGCATTACATTTCTGATAGGATACATGATTCATATATAACAAAAACATTGTGTGTAGTTAGGAATGAGCTTTTGGGAAATCCTTAGGCACAACAAATTACATATCACAACAGGGGTAATTAGTATCCCTGTTTCGATGGCTTTTATCTGCTGCTTTGTAGCCACAGTATTTTATCATTAATTTTATGTCTCAAGCTGGTTCTCTGGAGAGGCAGCATAGAAATTTGCTGAGGAAACAAATCATAAACACATGTATATTAAATAAACCACAGATTTCTCCAAATAACTATGATCTGTACTTCAAAGCACTATTTTAATGCTAGTTTGACAGCAGGAGAACAAACCACACTTTGTGGGTTAGACATAACAAAATCATTTGCCACAAAAGTGGAAATTATTGACTTACAAGTCACACGGTAATAGAGCATGCAAGCCCCCATATTCCCAAGACTTCTTGTAAAATACAACTATGCTAGTTTTGACTTTCTGTCTAAGGTGATAGTGATCAAACTCTGTAGTGCAGTGTTTTCCAGTGGATGTTACAGTTTTCAAGTAATGAATAATTACACCAACAAATTTAAAAGGCAAGTATGTACTTAAGAGTTGATAATATTCTCTGAAATGGAGACTCATGAAAAGTTTGGATTTCATATAGGATTAATACAACTGCTTCCCTTTCCTTAAATGTATTATATCATGATGTTCTGGTTTTTCCTATTTTTAAATCCTACCGCCAAAGGCTTATGAGGGGTTGCAAGTACTTCTAACCAGTGGTAGGCCATAACTACCAGTGTTTGCCTCACTAGCAAACTTACCCCTAGATGTTAACAGAAGATTAGCTAAGCCAAATCCTTGTAAGATTTCTCATCACATATTTTATATATTATAGTCAATTGTGCTGCTTACTGCAATTTTTCCGAGGTCTATGCCATAGTTCAGAGCACTCCAAGAACATTGTTTATAGTTGGGAGTCCAGGACTCTTCAAAGCTCTCTCGCATACATTCTCCTTTTTCTCCTTTAAGCCCATCTCGACCAGGGATACCAGGAGTCCCGGGGATACCGTTGACTCCAGGATTTCCATCTCTTCCAGGAACGCCATTAGGTCCTTGCAAACACATCCCATTATACTGAAAAAACAAAATAATTCACCTTTAAGTTGTGACACTGGCAGTGCAGTACTAAACGGAGTTTCTCCAGTCTAAGCCCCTTAAGTCAGTATGTATTGGAGTGCACTGTAGCTGCACCTGTTTACTTGCTTTGTACTATTGTGACTTTTCATCTTGTATTAATTACTTTTCTTGATTCAGAATCAAAGTTGTGCTAAATGCTAAAATAGTGGTGTTTCTTCCCCTCCCTTTATAACCCAGTAAGCTAGATCCTATGAGCCTTTAGCTGCTAGCACACAAGGGCCCAAAGAATGATCTGGCAGCTACCCTTCTGCAGCAAATCTGGTCTGGCCTTCACCAGTACCCAGATGACACAGATTGGATAAGAACCTCACGTATTAGCTCAGGGGTGGCCAAACTTGCTTAACGTAAGAGCCACATGGAATAAACGTCAGATGTTTGAGAGCCACATAACATGAACAAATATTAGAGACACGTTTTTATTGAAAAATGCAAATTTGCTTTTTATTAACATTAAATGAGACTGCCAAAAATAAAAACAAAAGGGGTAAAAATAGATATTGATAATGATATTTATTTGTCCAATGATATTTGAAGGCTTTCTTTCCCTGCTCCCCCCTGCCTCAAGCCTACTCAGGGAGGGGAACACTGGCTGGGGAAGGGAAGACTGATTGGGGAGGCATGCCAACCCTTCGCTTCCCCAGCTGCCCTGCCGGGAGCCACACAATATGTGTGAAAGAGCCGCATGTGGCTCCCGAGCCACAGTTTGACCACCCCTGTATTAGCTATGGAAAGGACAGCAGAATACATAGGTATCCTAGGTGGAGTTACACCCTTCTGGGTCCCAGGAGTCAATGGGCTTAGAATAGAGCAGGAGATCTCCCAGCCTGCCCTGCTTGACATACAGTTTTGGGTGAATCCTAGAGCATTCCTATGATGTCACATTTGGTTTTGTGCCCAAATTCATGTCACATGTTGCTGAGATGCATGCCCAAATTGCCCCTGCCTCCCAATGCTTCCTGCAGATTGCCAGCTACAGCTGGCAACCCCATCTTAAAAGGGCATAACTCCGCTAATTACTTCACAGGGTTGTTGTAAGGACTACGTGAAAAATAGTGTGTATGGGAAGTGCTCTGAGTATTCTAAAACCCTATACTTACACTAATACTTGCAGAACAAAGTTTGAGTCCAGTGGCATCTTTAAGACTAACAAAGTTTTATTCAAGGTATAAGCTTATAAGGGAAACGTTTACCTTTACTTTACCCAGAAGTTATTATTTTAAATCTGTGGTGAGAAATTTATTGTACTCGCTGAGTGGTGGTCAAGGGAAAACGGAGTGGATGTTAACAGCAGTCTGATATCCCTACCGAGCTCTTTCTTTAGATGGAAGGACAAAGTATCCCTTGTTTTCTGAGGCACATTTGCTGCCAGATCTTATAACTGCCAAAGAAGGTCACCTTCACTGAGAATAAAGCAGCATTTGGGAAAGTACAGCAGCGTGGGAACCATTCTAACAATAGATCAAGCAAGAGGCAACAGCCTGAAGATGCAGTGAAGAATATATCAGAGTAATGGAAACTATTCAGGCAAGAAATTATTTCCGAAGGAGTCACCAAAGGAAAGTATATTTTTCAAGAAGAACGCAGAGAGAAAAAGATAACTTGCCCCAAGGGGGAGTGACTCACTCAATAGACTGAATATTTCTGGGATGTTCACAGCACCCTGGAAATTTTGCATCTTTTTAGGGTTGTTAACCTCCAGGTGGCACCTGGAGATCTGCTATTACTACTGATCTCCAGTCAACCAAGATCAGTTCCCCTGTAGAAAATGGCTGCTTTGGAGAGTGGATTCTATGGCACTATATGCTGCTGCTCTCCTCACCAAACCCCGCTCTCCCCAGCTCCCCCCAAAAATTTCCAGGTATTTCCCAACCAATAACTGGTAACTCCATAATGGTGTTCAGCAAACTAAGGGCCAAATTAGACACAATGGAATCCTCATGCTGGCCATGAGGATGACAGCGCCATTGTAAGTCAAGCCCTCAGCACAACACTCCCCCCTCCCCTCATGCCATTTCAAGTGTGAAACAGCCATGGAGAGAGGGGGTGCAGCTATGTTAGCACTTGATAAGGTACAAGGAGGAGAAAAAAATAGTGCCTCAGGATCAAGCCCTTGCGACATTTTAAAACGGCACAGGCATCCTCATGGCCACCACGAGGACACTGCCATGTCTAGTCCGACTCTCAGTCTGGTACTATTAAGCACAGTATCATTTTGCCTTGTTTGATCTTATTTTCATGTACTGACTACGCGCTTCCCTTACCTGAACAGATTTACAATACTAAGTCTAATTTAATCAGCTAGATAACAAACAAACAATTTTAGTCTTAATCCCTAACTCTCCCACGCAGGAAGCTCAAAATCCACAGCAAAACATTCCGTTTTTGAAAGGAACTATTGCATACAAACACTTAACTCAGCACGGCTTCTCTTCCTTTTCCCTCCCATGCATATATCACTGGGGAGGAGGGAACGTGCTGGTGATGTGTCCAACATGGAAATGAATGGCTTGAGGGAGGAAAAATGCTGAAGAAACCAACTACCCATTTCCCTGAATGTTCATACTCAGGGAGTAATCACAAAGAGCAGAGGAGATCTATCGGCTTACTCATCATCAGCTGCCGGGAAGTCCCACCACATCAGATTATACAGCTGTCTCTCTTTCAGCGCTCCGGCTGTGGTTATGTTGGCAGACAGACAGAGCTCTCCCAGACCTTAACAATGGACACGATGCTGTTCCCATTCCTCCATGTTGTGCCCAGTTTGGGCAAGACTGTAAGCCCCGTTCCTTTACTTCGGCCACACTCAAGTTAGGCTGGGTCTGCACAGCCAACTGCAGGAGGCAAGCAAAGCCTGAGGTGGTGAAATATGCTGTTCCGCTTCAACTCCAAATGGGGAAAGCAAATTTAAAATTTGCACATCGTGAGAAATGCTTCCAACCCTGCTCTTTGCTGACACAGCAGAGGTTGGATCCAGCCAACTGTTTTTGCTCAAGCTTCCACAACTTCGCTTCTTACTACAGCCCCTATCACACATGGCTCTTTCAATGGTCTCATGATCCCCAGCAGAGTATTTCTGGGGGTGAAAGGGGAGGCCCTCCTTCTTCCCTTTTCACGAGTGGAAAAACTGTTCTCCATTTGTAAGAAAAACTGTTTTGCACTGGGAAGTGTTTACAAACAGAACCCTCCACCTGCAGCCCAAATGGGCAATGTCCTTTCTCCCTCCATCACTCTGCTGCATGGACAGAGTAGACCTTAACCCTGTTGCTGGCTGCGCAAGAAGAGTCTACCTGTTACTTGCTATACATGCAACCATGTTAAGATACCAGTTGGGCACCCACTTGGGCTACGGACCCCTCCAATTTTAACAGCGTACATGCAGGCGTGTTAGCCCGGTTCCAAAGAGCCACTGGGCATATACATCACTGCATCTCACTTGCCAAAGCCCACTGGAGGGATCTGTATGACCTCGCACACAGCCAGCATCTCGTTTAAACTGGGCCCACTACTACCATGCACGCAATGTTAGCACACCAAAGAATGACAGGCTGGGCTGGTGTTGCAGTGACATGCTACTGCTGCATGCACAGCAGCCCAGTGCAGGTACTGAGCACATGCAGCAACATCACCTAGGAATGTTCTAGCCCACCACCATTCAAATTCCAGTATTAAATTGGGTCTTTGAGTCCTTCTACAAAGCAGAATGGGGTGGCAGAACTAGAGTCTGCACCACTTTGAAGACTGCAGATGGCGGCTGCATTATCTTTTACTATGCTCCCTCTCATCCAATGCTCTCTACCACCTGTTCAAAAGAGTAAGAGCCCAGTAGTACCTTAAAACCTAACAAAATTTGCGACAGCGTATGACCTTTCATGAGTCACTGCTCGCTTCTTCAAATATCTGAAAAAGTGAGAAGTGACTCCCAAAGGTCATTTGTTGTTGTTGTTGTTCAGTCGCACAGTCGAGTCCGACTCTTCGCAACCCCATGGACCAGCTCCCGCCAGGCCCTCCTGTCTTCCGCCGTCCTCTGAAGTTGGCTCAATTTCATGTTCGTTGCATCTATGACACTGTCTAACCATCTCATCCTTTGCCGTCCCCGTCTTCTTTGACCTTCAGTCTTTCCCAGCATCAGGGTCTTCTCCAGTGAGTGCTCCCTTCTCATTTGGTGGTGCTTCAGTTTCATTATCTGGCCTTCCAGGGTACAGTCAGGCTTGATTTCTTTTAGGATTGACTGATTTGATCTTCTTGCAGTCCAAGGGACTCTCCAGCACCATAGTTCAAAATAATCTATTCTTCGGCGCTCGGCCTTCCTTATAGTCCAACTCTCGCAGCCATACATGACTACTGGGAATACCATTGCTTTGACCATGCGGACTTTTGTTGGCAGGGTGATGTCTCTACTTTTTATCATGCTGTTTAGGTTCGCCATCGCTTTCCTCCCAAGGAGCAGGCGTCTTTTAATTTCATGACTACTGTCACAGTCTGCAGTGATCTGGGATCCCAGGAACGTGAAGTCTGTCACTACTTCCACAGCTTCCCCTTCTATTTGCCAAGGAGTGATGGGGCCGGATGCCATGATCTTAGTTTTTTTGATGTTGAGCTTCAAGCCCACTTTTGCGCTCTCCTCTTTTACCCTGAGCAAGAGGCTCTTAAGGTCCTCTTCACTTTCTGCCATCAGAGTGGTATCGTCTGCATATCTGAGGTTGTTGATCTTTTCCCCAGCAATCTTAATTCCCGCTTGTGATTCATCCAGGCCAGCATTTCGCATGATGTACTCTGCATATATATTAAATAAGCAAGGCGACAATATACATCCTTGTCGTACTCCTTTTCCTATGCTGAACCAATCAGTTGTTCCATATCCGGTTCTAACTGTCGCTTCTTGGCCCTTATACAGGTTTCTCAAGAGACATGTGAGGTGGTCTGGTACTCCCATCTCTTTAAGGCCCTGCCATAGTTTGTTGTGATCCACACAGTCAAAAGCTTTAGCATAGTCAATGAAGCAGAAGTAGATATTTTTCTGGTACTCTCTTGCTTTCTCCATAATCCAGCGAATGTTGGCAATTTGATCTCTAGTTCCTCTACCTCTTCGAAACCCAGCTTGTACTTCTGGTAGTTCTCTATCCACGTACTGTTGAAGCCTAGCTTGTAGGATCTTGAGCATGACCTTGCTAGCGTGTGATATGAGTGCAATTGTGCGATAGTTTGAACATTCCTTGGCATTGCCCTTCTTTGGGATTGGAATGTATACTGACCTTTTCCAATCCTGTGGCCACTGTTGCGTTTTCCAAATTTGCTGGCAAATGGAGTGCAGAACTTTAACAGCATCCTCTTCTAAGACTTTGACCCCGTGGCCAGGGCGAAACCCGGACTGGTGGGGATCGAGGACAGAAGCGTCATCCAGAAATGCCTGCAGCTGTGTCGCCACCGCTCTCTCTATCAATTTGCCCAAAAAGGGCAAATTAGACATCTTGACCTACTACATACCTTGAATAAACCTTTGTTGGTCTTAAAGGTGCCACTGGACTGTAATCCTGTTCTACTACCTGTAGTAAACGAGTACCGCAGAAAGAAGACTACAGCATCCCACCACCACCCCACCCCCGGGGCTAGTTTCTTGTAGGCGAGGAGTTCGTTGTTGTGACGAGGGAGAACACATGAACTACGACGCTTCCCTCCGGCCGTCTAAGGTGGTCCGGTCCACAGTTCCACCACCTCCCTCTACCGCCCCCTAGTCTGTGCGGCGGATGAGCCTTGCCACGCCAGAGACGGTGGGGCGAGGACACGTATGGCGTGGGGCTGGGGCTTTGCTTGGGCTGGGGCCTTCTCCTCAGCGCCCCCACCCTCCGAGACCCCCACTCGCTCGCTCGCTCACTCACCACGTCCACCACCTCCCTCTGACGGAGCGCCTTCGCCTTCCCTTTGGGGTTCTCCAACGACGTCCCCGGCGAGGGCGCCGCCGCCAGCAGCAGAAGCAGCAAGAGGAGCGCCACGCCGAGCGGAGACGGGCGAGCGGGCTGCGCGACGGGCGAGAGGCGCTTCATGGCTGGCGGGCTGCGGCGCAAGCGAAGCCTGTGGAGCCCGGATGAATCGGGCAGTGTCTGCCGCGTGGATGAATGAGCCTTTTACGGCTCCTGCCCCTGCTCCGGCTCCCTCCCCGGGGACAGCCAGGAATGCGCAGCCGGCGGCGCTTTGCAGCAGCAGCAACAGCCTCCTCCCGGCCAGGCGACGGTGCGGGGGAAAGCCGACTCCCTCCCGCCAATTATTGCGGGATCGGGGGGGGGGCAGTTGGAGTGCAGTTATGGGCTGGGGGAGTTACGTATGTGTATATATAGGTTAAGCTAGCTTCATCCACGGAGTGGTATCGCCTTTCCGGCACTGCCAGAGAATGGCCACTGGAGGGCACAGGGCTAACCCGCAACGCCGTCCCTCCGGCAATGGTGTGGCCTCCCCCCCCTTTGGTCTGTTGCAGCAAGAAGGAAAAGGGAGTCCTGTGTTGTCGCAGAAGAACACCAGAACTTATGCTGCAGCACACATCTGTTAGGCTTCAGGGTGCAACAAGACACCGTTCAGGCATAGAATCGCCTCAGGTTAGACACAGACTAGGGGAAAATACAGTCCCTGCTTTTTCTGGAGACAGAACTTCTTCAAAGCCCGGCATTGCTCATACATATTACATTTCCAGGCACATTCCTTGCTCTCCGGCTGGGTTTATAGTAAGAGGAAGGCTAGCCTGCCCATCTCCCAGGGCTTTGTTGTTTGCAGATGTTGTGATGGGTAATTAGGGAGGAGCTCAGTGGTGGAGCATCTGCTTGGCAAGCAGAAAGCCTCAGCTTCAATCCCCAGCATCTCCAGTTAAGAATCCGGGAACCACTGCCAGTCTGAGTAAGACAGCATTGATCTTGAGGGACTAAGGTTATGATTCAGTCTAAGGCAGCTCAGCATGATATAGTGGTTAAAGTGTCAGACTAAGATATGGGAAATCCAGGTTCGAATCCCCACTTGTGGCATGGAAGCTTAGTGGGTGACCTTGGGCCAGCCATACACTCTCCGCCTAACCTATCTCACAGCGTTGTTGTGAGGATAAGATGAAGGAGAGAAGGATGTAAAGATACTTTGGGTCCCCATTGGGGTGAAACTCAGAATGTAAATAAATAAATGTGATCAGGTATAATAGTAAGTGTGTAAGAAAGGCAATTGTGGTGCACTGCTTATTTGGGGGGACTGTTTCCCCTTTAAAATTATTCTTTGTGTAATAAACTGGGTAGTTTCTGCTGCCACCAGGAATTTTAAGAAATTCCAAATCTTCTCTGTTTCTGCTGTTGGTAATGTGACCCAGGGCCTGGGCTTTCAAAGGCCTATGTGGCCCTGAGGAACTGAATTCTGGGTTAAACTTAAACAAAATATGATTTATTGATTAAGGAATAAAAATAAGTTGCTAGTTAACTGTAGTTTTTGGGGAAAGGAACTGGTAAATAAACTGGCAAGGTATCACACACAGTCTTTTGACATTAAGATCCCACTCTGACAGGAATCTCTCACATAGGCAGCCACACTGGCTAAGCTCTTTGTATTATTGACTCTCTTTCATAACTTCAGAGTCTCACAGACCCTTCTCATTTAAACTCTTAAAGCCGTATATACTGAACTCTGAATCAAACCGGGTTCTTCAGATTAGAGTCTGGCACTGTGACCATACCCCTCTTTTATTTTGTGTGGTTATGTGTGATGTAGTTTTAAATTTCTTGTTTCTTTATCTCACTCAAAGTATCTATCGCTGCCACCAGGAATTTAATCCCAGTCTTTCATTAACCTTTCCCACAGTATTGTGCCCAAGCTCCTTCATTGGACTATGTGGTTCTGAGGATAAGACTCTGGGTTTACAATAAACAAGATAAAACTTTATTGGTAAGAGAAGTGTATTGGTTACAAGATGTTTTTGTTAAGTTGCTTAGTAGAATCTTTCACTTTTTACTCAGGTCTCTTGTCAGCTTTCCCCCCTCACACACTTATAATACTCTGACAATATTAGATTTTGCCTGATATGCCCCCTCAAGTATATTTTCTTCCTCCTTTAGAATCTTAATGCCTTTCACAGCACTTCTGTATGATTCTAATGAGAAGGCTGCTTCTCAGACTCTGTAGATTGACCACAGCTGCTGACTTCTGACTTCAAACTCAAACTGAACATTCTGCCTTCTCTACACACGTGCACACCTCCTAGCTCCACACACACACTCAGTCACCAACAAATCACCTCACTCACTCATCTCCTCCTTTCACCCCCTTGTTCTACTGACACCAACCATCTTAAAGAAACACACACATATAACTTGAAATCATTACAGGCACTCTTAATCATTACACCACACTGGCTAGCAGCCCAACTGGCAGCCTCTTCCACAGTAGTCATAACTGTATCACCAATCATGATGTTATTCGCTGAGAATGTACCACATCATCCATGTACGGAAATGAACACTGAGGTGATGCAATTTTCACAGTGCCGTATCTTCTCCTCTAACATAATGTGCAAGCCAGCTGCCAGAGAAAAACAAGCTCTTGTTCCTGTCCCCCTAGTAAAGGTTTCCATAGCCCAATAGACTGGGAAAGAAGATCACAATGCCAAACAGGAAAGGTAGGTTCAGTTCTTGTTCCTTGAAGACAGTGAGAAGACCATAACAAGGCAAATACTACCTTTTGGGTGCCATGCTGGCACCAGTAATGAAGACTGGGAAAGAGAGAAGCAATAGGATTAGAACCCAAAATAGACTATAGAGAGCAGCTCCTTAACACCACATTCACAAGAGAAACAAAAAAATCATGACCTTTGTAGTTTTCTAGAGTGTTGCCTGAAACCCCCTTCTATGCTTAGGAGCCAGAGTACCCAGTCCAATACCAAAAGGGCCTTATTCCAGATTCTAACTCAGGAAAATGCAGGCTTCCATATAACAAGCTCCAGGTTCTATCCCCCAACTGTACATGTAGTGATAAGGGTTGCAGCACACAAGTGGTAACCAGAAGAGGAGTCAAGAGACTGAGCACTGGACATGCCCCCCATCACTTGCACTGGTGACTGTAACAAGATAGCCCTTTGGGGAAGGTGAGCCCACTGCCACCCCCTCATCATGAAGACCATGCGTGCGCACACACACATTTGTGTCAAGTTGCACCCAACTTATGGAGACCTCCATAGGGTTTTCAAGGCAAGACACTAATAGGTGGTTTGCCATTGCCTTCCACTGTGTAGCAACCCTGAACAACATAAGTCCAACACACTGTCACACAGTGGCCAAAAATACCAGGTGCCATCAGGAGGTCCAGCAGTGTGGCCAGGACACTAGAAGCCCTCCCACTGTTCCCCCCCCCCTCCAAGCACCAAGAATACAGAGCATCACTTGCCCCAGACTGAGAGTTTCTATCTATACCTTGTGGCTAATAGCCACTGATGGACTTCTGTTCCATATGCTTATCTAATTCCCTCTTGAAGCTGTCCGTGCTTGTAGCCGCCACCACCTCCTGTGGCAGTGAATTCCATGTGTTAATCACTCTTTGGGTGAAGAAGTACTTAGAATCATAGAATGTTAGAGTTGGAAGGGACCTTGCAGGTCATTTAGTCCAACCCCCTACACTCTGCAGGAGTATACTGAAAGATAGCCCTACACACCTACAACAGTACTCCAATAGAACAGAGTAAAAATTACAAATATTTGGGTCTAATATTCAGTGAAACCTTGAGCTGGAATGCCCAAATTGCTTCCTTAAAATCTTCAGCAAATAAGATCATTGGTGTGGTACTGAGATTCTGTTACAACAAGGGAGGTCTACTAATAGATCCAGCCCTTAAACATTTTGTCAGCAAAGTAATCTCACATAGAATGTTACAGTTGGAAGGGACCTTGCAGGTCATGTAGTCCAACCCTGTCCAACCATTCTGCAAGAGCATAGCCGAAAGATAATAGTCCTACAACATACCCGAAAGATGGTTGTCCAGCCTCTGCTTGAAAACGTCCAGCGAAGGAGCATCCACCACCTCCCGAGGCAGACCGTTCCACTGCTCAACCACTCTTACAGTTAGGAAGTTTTCCCTGATATTTAGCCGGTATCGGCTCCCTTGTCATTTCCACCCTTTAGATCTAGTCTTGCAATCTGGAGTGAGAGAGAATAGATCTGCTCCATCTTCTACATGACAGCCCTTCAAATACTTGAAGACTGCAATCATGTCCCCTCTAAGCCTTCTCTTTCCCAGGCTAAACACATCCAACTCTTCCAGCCTTTCCTCATAAGACTTGGATTCCAACCCTCTCACCATCTTGGTTGCCCTCTTCTGGACACGGTCGAGCTTGTCAACACCCTTCCTAAAATGGGGGCCAAAACTGGACACAGGACTCCAGGTGAGGCCTGACCATAGCAGAATAGAGTGGAACGACCACCTCCCGTGAACTGGACACAAGGCTTTTGTTAATGCATTCGAAGATTGCATTAGCTTTCTTCGCAGTCACATCGCACTGCAGGCTCACGTTTAGCTTGTGATCAACCAGAACACTTAGATCCCTTTCACATGTGCTGCTCTCAAGCCAAGTCCCTCCCGTTCTATATCTGTGCCTTTGATTTTTTGTACCTAAGTGTAGGACTTTGCACTTCTCTCTATTGAAGTTCATTTTATTTGTCTCAGCCCACTGTTCCAGCCTATCTAGGTAATTTTGATATATTACTATATGGTATATACTGTATATGGTATAGAACTTTGGGGGTTGAAAGAACAAACATATGTTATGATAAAACAATTTAATCCAATATGTAGTGAATTATAGGGGCTCGATAGAATTTGTAAACGTATGCCCCGGTTGAGTTAAGAAGGAGGCCATTTGGGAGTTCCATTATTTGTTCCCTTCTGATAAATGGTTATCTGACCAAATTGATAGGTTGTCAGCTCTTGAAGAAGGGTCTTCTTGAAACGGTCTTTGGGATTTGCTGAGCTGATGGTAGATTTCTGCTTGAAGCCCTCGTTCCAAGCACCACGGGAGACCTCCCTGGAGACACTGCACGTAGAGGAGGACTTCAGCTCATATATTGTGTATCACGTACTCATAATTCGGTGGTCCTTAAATCGTTCACGCCAATTGCTTTTTGGATTCTCCGTGCCTTGCGTAATATGTTCAGATATCTTCTACCTTGTATGTTTATAAATGCTATCGAATCCCTATTATTAATTCACTGTGTGTTGGATGAAATTGTTTGATTGTAACATATGCGATATATGGTTAGTTAGCTTGCTTCACGGTGTTCTTAACAGCTAACTATAGCATCCAACTGTGATCCCCATTTGAATTTTGCTTGTTCCTTGAGAATCAGCAGCCGGGGCAAAGGGCGGGGATGGTCTGTTGCTCTCAGCAGAGCGTTCAGCTAAGCCAGAGTCCGGTTTCTGAAGAAATGACACCCTGCGGGGAGGGGGGAACAGAGGCCGCTTCCCTGTCCCCAAGGGGGTGGGGGGCAGTGACAGACCAGGGGGCCGGCAGCAACAGACTGGGGGGGCCAGGGTCATGCGTAGGGTGTTGCAGGGCTGGCTCCAGAAAATCCCTTCCCCGAGCAGTCGTCTGTGCCCCCTGCATGGAGCAGGATGAGGAGGGGGTGCCCTCGGCCAACTCATACGCCCTGAATTGTCCCCCCCCCCTTGGCCCCACTCTCCCCTGGTGGGCCCTCCAGCTGCTGCTGCTGGCCTGATTGGAGACCTTCCTCTCCCCTTATGGGGGGTGGCGCAGGAAACGCCCCCCGGCTCTGTTCCCACAGCTGTTGTGCAGGGTGTGTGGTGGATCTGGCACTGGGGGCGTGAGGCCGAGTGTCCTCTGGGAGGTGCCACCCAAGGAAGGTGCCCCTGATGCAACCCAGAGGTCGGGCTGATCTGAGGCCACACTCTCTTCTCCCCGGTGGGGCCCCCAGCATGGTTCTCCCCTCCTCCCTTGTATCCTCCTCACAACCACCCTGCGAGGAAGGTTTTGCTGAGGGTAGGAGGACTGGCCCGAGGCCACCCAGGCAGCAGGGGGCGGGACCTGGGGATCCCAAGCCCTGATCTAACCACAAACCCAGCCGTCAGCAAAGAGGGCGGTGGGTGTGGACTAGGGGAGGCCCATACAAGCGGTGGTATAAATGTTTGACTGGCTGAAGCACTGAGGAAGAAGAGAAGAAGAGATTGGATTCATACCCCATGGCCCTTCACCACCCGAAGGAGTCTCCGAGTGGCTGACAAACGCCTCCCCCTTCCCCTCCCCACAACAGACAGACACCCTGTGAGGTAGGTGGGGCTGAGAGAGCTCTTTCCAGAGCTGCCCTTGAGAGAACAGCTCTTATCAGAACCACGGCTTGCCCACGGTCACATCAGCAGGTGCGAGTGGAGGAGTGGGGAATCAAACCCAGTTCACGCAGATTATAGAGTCCGCGCACTTAACCACCACACCAAACTGGCTCTCAAGAAGAAGAAGAGGAGGAGGAGGAGGATGGATTCATACCCCATGGCCCTTCACTACCCGAAGGAGTCTCAGAGCGGCTGACAAACTCCTTCCCCTTCCCCTCCCCTCCCCTCCCCACAACAGACACCCTCCGGTGAGGGAGGCGGGGCTGAGAGAGCTCTGACAGGAACTGCTCTTTTTCCAAGGACAGCTCTTATCAGGACTACAGCTTGCCCAAGGTCACCCAGCCAGGTGCAAGTGGAGGAGGGGGGGATCCAACCCGGTTCTCCCAGATTAGAGTCCAAACACTGAACCACGACACCAAACTGGCTCTGAAGTGTGCCTGTCCTGACCCTGTGCCTCTTGTGGGGCAGCCAGCGACTTCTTCCAGACCGAAGGGGCCCTTCCTGTCCTGGTGGGCCCTGGGCCCACGCTCCTTGGGGGTCTCACGCGTGCTGTGACGGGTGGGCTCTTCAGTCTCGTTCCTCCAAAGAGCTGAGGGCTCTTTCGCCTCCCCTCCGCCATTTCATCTTCCTGTGCGTCAGGCCGGGCCAGGCGTGAGCCAAGGTCCTCTGGTCTGCTTCCAGGTGGTTGCTCGGAGAGCTTGGCCTTGCGGGTTCGTGAGAGGTGGAAGGGAGAAGACCTCAGGACAAAATGGTGGGGGCTGCCTCTGCCTCCCTTTGGGTGTCGCGGTGAAGTGCGCGGACTCTAATCTGGGAGAGCCGGGTTTGATTCCCCCACTCCTCCACTCACACCTGGCTGGGTGACCTTGGGCAAGCCCTTAGTTCTGACAAGAGCTGTCCTTGAAAAAAGACCAGTTTCTGTCAGAGCTCTCTCAGCCCCACCTCCCTCCCAGGCTGCCCCTCCCAGTTTGGTGTCGTGGTCAAGTGCGCAGACTCTAATCTAGGAGGACTGAGTTTGATTCCCCATTCCTCCACTTGCGCCTGGCTGGATGACCTTGGGCAAGCCATAGTTCTGTCAGAGCTGTTCTTGAAAAGAGCATTTTCTCACAGAGCTCTCTCAGCCCCGCCTACCGGGTGTCTGTTGTGGGGAGGGGAAAGGAGTTTGTCAGCCGCTCTGAGACACCTTTGGGTAGTGAAGGGCGGGGGATAAATCCAATCTCCTCTTCTTCCTCTCAACCGCCCCCCCCCCAGCTCCCTGGACTCTCCTCCCTGCATTCCTTGGTATCTCCCTTATTGCAGGCAGGCGACTTCTGGTCGCTAAAGGTTTGGAGGCAAAACATCTGAGCCACCATCTCCTCCTCCTCATGCTGAGGCCGTGTCAGACTCCCCGTCAAGTTACTCTCAACAACACTCTGTTTGGCAGTGATGCGTTTATTGAGATATGTGCATGATCCAGAACAGCGCTTGTGTTAGAACTGAAGTTTTTTGGCGGGCATAATGCTTAATATAGGTTGTTCAAACAGATCCCTGTTCCCTTCCCCCATGTACACGTCACAAGTACCCGCCTAGTGTTGCCATCTCAACCAAAAGGAAAATACATGGTTTGGTTATCTACTGCTCAAGCTCGTACCAGGAGCTTCAAGGACACCTTTCCCTGGGAATTGCGGGAAAAATCATGGCGCCTAAAAGCAAAGGTTCTCACTCTCTCCCCTCCCCGTAGCAAGCGAAGCAAAGCGAGGTTTGACGGGTGGCTCTCATGGCCTGGCTTGGGCCGGGTGCTCTCCCACCAGGCCTGCCCCTTGCTCCTCCGCCTCTGTCTCCTCCCACGCAGGCCCTGGAGCAGGAGCGGTGGCAGAACTTCCAGCAGCTGTGCCAGCTGGACGAAGAGGCCCTGGTCCCCACCCAGGAGGCAACGGAGTGCCGCATCTGCTACCTCGACGTGGAGCCGGGCGAGGGGGTGCTGCTGCGGGAATGCCTGCACAGCTTCTGCAGGTGAGGTGCACCTGTGCCGCTGCCGCTGCCTGGGGAGGGGTGGGGCAGGGGGAGAGGAGGATGGGCGGCCGGAAGCCTGACGCGAGCGCATCCCCTTCCCCGGCCAGGGACTGTCTGCGGCAGCTGATCAACTGCAGCGAGGAGCCCCAGGTGGCCTGCCCCTTCCGGGACGACAGCTACGCCTGCAGCAGCCATCTCCAGGATCGAGAGATCCGGGCGGTGAGTGGCCCTCCCTGCAGCCTGGGCTACTGTGCCCTGAGAGAGAGAGCTGGGCCCTGTAGGGTGGCCGGCAAGCCGCTGGAGATACTACGGAGCGGTCTCCCTTCCTGGCCCAACTCAGGATGGCCTGGAGGACTGCTGGGTTCTGTGTTGTCCCTCGCCTGTCGGGATAGAGAAGTTGCTCATCGTAAAAAAAGCCCCGGCCCCTGGGTCCAAGCCTGCTGGGTCTTTGGACTTGGGAGTCCTGTCCCCCAGCCCCTGGCTACCTCTACCCCCCCCCGGGACACTGAAGCAGCGCCTCTGTCTCCGCAGCTGGTGTCGCGGGAGGAGTACGAGCGTTTCCTGGAGAGGAGGCTGGCGGTGGCAGAGAGCCGCGCCCAGAACAGCTACCACTGCCAGACGGCCGACTGCCTGGGCTGGTGCATCTACGAGGACGACGTCAACGACTTCCGCTGCCCCATCTGCTGTGCGCTCAACTGCCTGGTCTGCAAGGTGAGCGGAGGGCGGCCACGGCCGGTGGAAGGCAAAGACCTTCCTGGCTCATGTCCCCTTCCCAGCTTTCAGCAGACCCATGTGAAGGGGACACCGGAAGAGCTGGGGCTGCCTCAGGCCTGCCTCATCCAGCCTCCTGTTTCCCACGACAGCTGAAAGAGCTGCCACGGAGGGCCCGGCCTGCCCCTGATGTTTCTTCCTAGCACTGCCTGGGTGACGGAGGTTTACTGCCCTTGGATGGGGAGGTTCCCTTGGCAATGGAGGGACTCTGCCTGGCTCCCTTTCAAAGTCATCCGTGCTTCTGGCCGGGAGGACATCCACTGGCAGAGAATCTCACCACTGAATTGCTGTTGCGTACAGAAATGATTCTTTTGGTCTGCCCTGAACCGGCTGGGTGCCCCCACCTTCTGGAACCATGTGAGCAGGAGACAGAGCTCTCTCTGCGTCAACTCCTTCCATTCTACAAACTCCCCTCACGTCCCTTTTCCCCACGGGAAAGCTGCTGCAACCCCTTAAGGGCGTTGGTGGCCCCCTTCGGCCTTTCTGCAATACCCATTCTGAGTCCCCTGTGTCCGCCTGTTTGGGAATGGTCCAGGAGCCTGTTTCTTGGGGACCTGGTCTCACAGCAGCTGCAGGGCTGCCTGCTGACCTCCTAGACAGCCAGTGGGGTTCTGGGCCCCAGTCTCCCCCGAAACCATATCAGCAGGGGTCATTTCCTGCAGGAGCGGAGCTCCGGCAGTAAAGAGCCCAGGGGGCGGGCACATGCAACAAGCCCCGCCCCCTGCTCCCAGCAGCCCTCAGTCAGAGAAGAAGCAGAGCCCCCCCCCCGGCCCGCCTTCAGGTACGAGCTCTCCCTCCTCTGCCAGGACAGATCTGCACACTTCCCTCCACCCCAATAGCTAGCAATCCAAAACAGTCCAGTGGAGCCTGAGCAGTGGGTGTTGCCTTCTGACACACTTCCGGTGATGTCAGGGGGTGTGGCATATGTAAATAAGTTATGCTAATGAGTTATGCTAATGAGTTCCTGCACCTCTTTTTCTATGAAATGACCCCTGCATATCAGCATCCCGTAGGGGTTGCTCTTAGAGTTGCCAGCCTCCAGGTGGGGCCTGGGGATCTCCCGCTTTTACCACTGATCCCCAGCTGAAAGAGATCAGCTCCCCTGGAGAAAATGGCTGCTTTGAAGGGTGGACTCCATGGCATTGTACTATGCTGAGGCCCCTCCCCTCCCCAAACCACACCCTCTCCTGGCTCCACCCCCAAAGTCTTCAGGTATTTTCCAACCCAGACTTGGCAACCCTAGTTGTTCTTAGCCAGGAGAAGAGAGAAGAGACAACCAGGCAGTGATCCAGCTGAAGTCGTTAAGGCAGCTGCATCCTTGGCAGAGTCAACCAGAGGTGACCGCGGCCTTTTCCAAAGGCAGCGGAGATGCTGGCTCCACACCTGAAGAGGGCGTGCCCTCTCCCTCGCACTCCCCTTCCCCACTTAGGGAATAGGCTGAAGGGACACAAGCCCACGCGGCCTCCTCATTCCATTTGACCTCCTTTTGTTCTTCCCGGGTTCTTGGACCCCGAGTCCAAACCGCAGAAATGGCTCGGTGGGATGGGGGCGCCCACGGGAAGGGAGCCCAAAGAAAGTGAGCCCCTTTTCTCAACCGCAGGCCATTCACGAGGGGATGAACTGCAAGCAGTACCAGGACAAACTGCAGTTCCAGGCCCAGAATGATGCCGCGGCCCGGGAGACCAGCAACATGCTCAAGGTGAGTGGCAGCTGAGGGCCCTCTGGCTGGCATGGGGCTGGCCAGCGGCTCCTTCACCCTCCTTTGCAAAAAGTGGCTTATCTCGTGTGGAATGCAGTCGCATCAGGCTACACGGCCCGTAGAGAAAGCAGGCCTTCCGTAGACCTCAGAGGCCAGGAAGAGATGTGAGAAGAGCCCTGCTGGATCAGGCCAGCAGTCCCATCTAGTTCAGCAACCTCATTCATCCAGTGGCCAGCCAGTTAATCAGGAGGACCAACCACAGGGCATAGAGTCCGAGGCCTTCCGCTGAGGTTGTCTCCTGGCTCTGGGATTTGGAAGTCGACTGCCTCTGAATGTGATTCCCCTCAGTCACCATGGCTGATGGCTGCTGACAGACCACTCCTCCATGACTAACCTCCTTTTAAAGCTATCTGTGCCTCTGGCCATCACTACGTCCTCTGGCAAGGCATTCCACATTTTAATCACTCTCTGTGTAAATTAGTATTTCCTTTTGTTCATCCTGAACCTACTGCCCAGTGGATGCTCTTGAGTCCTAGAAAAGTCCCATCTGTTCACTCTCCACCCCATGCGTAATTTTATAAACCTCTGTCATGTCTCCCCCTTTAGTCGTCTCTCTTCTCAACTGAAAAGTCCCAGACTCTTCTTCAGCCTGTTCCTCCTAGGGAAGGGGCTCCAACCCCCTCCTCATCTTGGTTGCCCTCCTCTGTCCTTGTTCCAGCTCTGCCATGTCCCCTTGGAGATACGGAGACCAGAACTGTGCACACAGTATTCCTCAAATGAGGCCGCACCCTAGGTGTAGGCATTGTCATTTTGGCTGTTTTATTCTCAATCCCTTTCCTAATAATCCCCAACACAGAGTTCGTCCCTTTCGCTGCTGCTGCATGCTGGATTGACATTTTTTGGGGGGGGGGGGGGAAGGGGGTTTTTTTAAAAAAATTTTTTTTTTAAAAAAAAAAAAAAAAAAA